TCAAAATTACGTTCTATTGTATACAACCTGTTGTATGGTAAACTGCCAGTCACTCGGTAGTACCTTCTTAAAATTCCACTTAGATAAGCTCCTCGCTTTGAATATGCACAGATATAGAGGTACATGTGATCCTCTGAGACGAACAAGGTGTTCGTTAAAGAAGTTAAAAGCAGGTTGAAAGTAACTTGGGTTTTGCAGCTGAATCCCTGTCTAAAGTCATGGGGAGCACCTCATGATTATTTTCCCCATGTGTGCGGTTCCACGTGAACCTTCCCTTTGGTCGTCCCTCTACAAAGCCTGACTCTCCAAAGAAAGAAACATAACAGAAAATACTCATTCTATTCCTTTTGCCCTTCCACAGAGACATGTCTGTTTCGTCATGTGGATTGCTTGTGTGGCTTTCAGGTAGAATTAAAAAGGTTTTAGCACTTGTCAGTGCTTTGAAGTTCGAACAAGCACATTAGTTTTACGAAGGCGCAGACAGATACTTATCTGGGATGTTAAGTTTTTCTCATAATTTAAGAACAGGAGTTTCAGGACTGCATTGATTTGGAATGTTTAATGCAACTGACCTTAAATAAAATTGATTTTTAGAGAATAATAAAAGGAGATTATGAAGCTGAATGATTTATAGACCACTATGTTTGTATGTGACTTCACAGTCCTGAAGAAGTCATTTTATTCCATAATGTATCACCAGGGTACTAAATTCGTGGGAATTTGGACTTAGCCAGCAGGGCCAAAAGTAGCGAGCATGATTGGTACTATTCTGTCACATGGGCTCATGCATACTAAATCCGAATATTTCTTCGTAGCCTCGCGTCACGTCGCGTGCGTATTTGGAAATCAACATGCAACAATCGTTTGTAAGGAGATCGCTTGGGATGCTGTCGTTGCTATAAAATAACATTATTAAAAACGTTTTAAGTTCCTCTTGCTTGGCGGCGCAACCTTGTCATGCCTCGAACGATTTAATAAAACTGATGATAAACTGCAAGATAACATGGCGGAACGATGTATTTCAAACAATTTTTTTGTCGTTGTTGATTTCCTGTTTTTTTTTTTTTTTTGTGCATGTATTTGATATAAAAGCTTAATTTGCCAACCCGTCGTATCCCACGGAGTTGAGCGCACGACGGGCAAACAACTTTTGATTTTCTCAGGCTCTGACTTTTCTCACGCCGGGCGCACAGTCGAACGGTCATTTTGTACCCTGGCATCACCTATAAATAGTATAAATGACATTAAAGCTTATTTGAAACATCTTGGAAGAATAATTTACCAGAACTTTATTAGCATTACTTTAATATTATTTCTCACATCAGCATGTTAATGTGTTACTGACAAATAATGTGTGAATAGCCTACTTCAGTAAATATGCTTCCATTCTACGTTTTAAATGTATGTTTAAAAATGTTTTGTTTTTTTAGGCCAATTGCTCAAAATGTATTTGACTTTTCCTTCTAACTGATTCACGTCCTTTTTGCAGCAGATTTTCAGTGATCTCTCAATCCTTGTTCATTGTATATTCAAAGAACAAAAATCATCCTATCTTCACCTTTCTAGTGATTCCTTCTCCTTAAATTAAAGATAATTGACCCAAAGCAAAAACCAACTGTATTAACAACCAACCATCACCGCTTTATTTTTTATTTCTATTTTTTATTTTTTTACATTTTCTGGATGGACACAGCAACCAAATATATTCACATTATATGCAGCTTTTATGTAACTAGTAACCCTGTAAGACCCCTCGTTGCAGAATTACAACATTTTTTGTCATCCCCAAAAAACTTTTTTTTTTTTTTTTTGGTTCAACTGCATCAACATATTCATTGGGTCATGTTGTTTGGTTTCAAAATGCTATTGGGTCCTACATTTGTATACAAGGCCTGCCCTCAGGTGAAGAAGTCACACAACCTCCAGATTTTTGCTTGAGCATCATCCCCTCGATTTACTGGACTGGATTTATCTGATTGAAGTAAGTAAAAGGCTTTGCATATTTTTTTCTGTGTTTATTACAGTGTCTACAACACATTATTGTAGAAAATGTGCCCTACATTTTATCTAGAGCTTGTTTTGTAATTGTTGCAAAACTACAACATTGGGTGAATGTGGTAGTCAAAACAACCCCTGTTTTTTTTAGAGAAATGCCCAATATAACTTTGAACCACACATAATTTACACATTCTAGCCCTTAGCCTTATATTGGATTATATTGGATTATATTTATCATTGTGTTAAAACCTAATATAGATTAGATAATATACATATCTAATCATTTTAATTTGTTTTTAAGGATTTCTGACCACCTTCAACACTCAGTATTTTTTCCTTATCACAGAAGGCAGGGCTTTCTAACATGTCTACAACACAACAGACATGTTGTGCATGTCTGCCCATGTGTCTTGGCTATTGATAAGGAAATGTTCCAATCAATTCATAGTCAAAGCAGGTGTGGGGGGTGCTTGGAGGGGCCTTTGCATTGCATTGCTCTGGAACTGTTATGTTCCCGGCTCTGGAGCCGGCCCCACCCCCACCGGCACAC